ACAGATTTCTTAATATAATAATAATATTATTATTATTGTTTTTGACCAGTGACCTTGGGGGGGGGGGGGGGGAAGAAGTCCGACCACACCTCCCTGCCGTCCCGCCTGGACCCTTGGAATATTTGACCAAAATTCTGGTCCGCTTCCAAAGTGACTAAAGTGGCAACGGCACCCATTTTCCAATGAAGAGCAACAACAACAACCAGTGAGCTGTTATTCTGTTGTGTGTGGCATTGTAGATAAATAAATGTCTTTGTTAGATAACTGTGCTGTGCTATCTTACCTTTCTGTGTGAGGACGGTTGCCGTTCAATAAAATCCCCCGATGATCAGTTCCTTCTCCTATCTTCCTTCCTTTTTTTCAACAGTTTATTTTGTCTGATGGTCCGTGATAAAATGTCTTCGTTCAAATTGGGAAGACCTTGACATCTTGTCAATACATGCAAAAGTGCACAGTCTGCACTATTTAAAAAATATAATTATATGAATACCACTATATACAATGAACATGGCGCCTCTGCCAGCGCTGCAGAGTTTGGTGAAAAATCGCCAGCGGGTCTCCAGCGACACCACGTATTTCGCGATCTACGAGTTTATCTGTAGATGCAAGCATTATATAATTTTTAAACATATCAGGTTAATCTGTTTAGTGTACTGATTTTAGGCCCTTTAAAAAAACCTCTTCTTGTAGCTTCTTGTAATTCTCATCAGCTGTTTAGGGACAGACATTTCTTGTGATGTATGACAGGTAAATACGATTCACTTAGGTCTTCTCGATTATTGAGAATTGTCATCGAATCAATTGATAAACTATTTGTAATAGTGCGGTTCGATGAAACTGGACAAACCTGGATTCACCATTATTAAGCCAGGCTCTTCAAATATTTTATTCAGTAGTTGTTGGAATATATTTGTTCTCCATAGAATTAAAATAAAATAATCACCTTCAAACATTATTTCCGTACACAAATGGACAAATATTAAGGAATTTGTTCCTTTCAGCTTGTTTATCAGGATTCAGACAATAGCGCTCTGAAAGATATTTGATACACAATAACCTTTATTGAAGACACAGAGAAAAATAAGTATGGACAGAATTTCCTCTGCATCCTTATAAAAAATGACGTTGGCGATATGAGTGTAAATCCGTTTGGTTATCTCAATTTATTTATATATTTTTAAAGACAATTTTCTCAATGTATAAAAAGTATTTATTTTAAGTGTTGTCTTTTTTCATTTGAATTATTTTTTCAACAAAACTAAAATTATTTTGTATAAATTGTCAACATAAAATTTAAAGCCCAGAGTTCAAGGAAAATGCTTCATTAGGTTGGGATATTTCAGAGTTGCAATTTGCATGGTTTCGAAGCCGTCTATCGGAAATCCATCTGGGCCGTGTTTATCCTCCGGCCTGGGGAAACAATGGCCGAGCTAATTGACGACAAATCATCGCTAAAAAGAGGCTTCGATATTGAATCGACCGAATTGGATGCAACCTCTCTAGAATCCTGTAAGTTGGCACGGATCCTGTTCGAATTTAAATCAGCCTCTTTCTCTCTTTTTGACTGATTCTTTCTTGTCTGAGATTTGAGATTTCTATGTTACGACTACTAGAGTATTCAACTTTATATTTTATGTAATTATTTTTGTAATTTAAAAACGGAGAAAAAAGGTTTTTAAATTTATTTGAATGTATAAATTGACCATGCTTGTTCAATAATAAAAGAAAAGAGTTTTGGATAAGTTTTGAACAATTGATAGTGGTCCTTAGAGCCTCTTCCTTGGAGTTACCGAGCTGGTCAAGTAGCTGGACACTAGGTCGTCTCTCAAGGTAAAGAGAGACAGCATCTATATTGAGACGAAAGAGTAACCTCCCTCAATAGTATAGAGTGAAATTCTCTTCAATATTGATTAACAGATCATTTACATACTCTTAAAACTATCACCTTTATTTATTGAAACTAACAAAAAGATTTTCTCACAATGAGTTTCTTTTTGAAAAAAATTAATCATGCCCAAGGGAAAAATGTCCTTTCAAAACATTTTTATTCTCTATCTTTCGGGCGCGTACGCCCTTCTACAGGAGAACACTTGGTATAATAACGGAAGCCAAAAGCCCGAAACGCTTACGAGGTTGGTCTTCTTTATTTATCCGGAAAAATTAATTCAAAGTTTAGTTTATATTTGTCCCACTAGATGTATCTTTGCCATCTAAAATTATCATGTGAACACTCAGAATATGCCTTTTTTGATTTTAATATCAACCCCGGCCATTTTTCTTTCTTTTTTTTTATATCTATTCATCATATTATTTATTATATTTATTTATTTTATACATATATATCCATATATAGCACATTTTCTGTATTTAGCCATATATAATTTATGAGAACGTTGAACTAAGTCAGTGCCAGTCCTTAAATATCTCTCTCCGCCTTCGTCCTTCTAAATGAAGGATTAAAATTCTAGCAACTCCCTATCAAGCTGGTGATTGTCTCGAAAAGCGAATCGACGCCTTCTCACATCACCTACGACATTAGGGGTAGAAAATGTCACCATCAGAGATATCGCCCAGCCACCTAACCCTTGGGAATTACTGGGAACCGTCTAGACCAAGAGTCGGCAAACTTTTCAGCCGGAAGAGCCAAATATTACAATTTACAAACTTTCAAAGTTTTTGAAGAGCCACACTATTTTTTTGGCAACAATAAATAGTACTCACATAAATAATATTTACGTATGTAATTATACAAAGATCCGCAGCTTCACACCCAAAGAGCCACCCATGTTGCCGACTCCTGCTATAGACCATGCATGTCAACCATTCCGCCTTCCACCCAGCCGGAGCTATCTTCACCCATCAGGCATATCCCCTTGAGACATACCGAGATTTAGTCTGTGGCGAACTGTCCATTCCCAGTAGACTCCAGCCTCTAAGATGGCGTCGACCATAAGCCCATTGTTTTCACCATCATCTTCCTTCCCAACCATTGATGCGCCAACATCAGTAGTCGAGCTTTCAGCCATTTGCTGAGGGGATTCAAGCTGAAGCTGCCCCAACCATTCAGTCTGCTAACTCCGAGGCACAGAAAACCAGCCTCCTATGGATGAGATATTGCCATTACTGAAATATACAAAACCCCACAGACAGTATAAGGAGATCGTATATGCTCTAGACAATTGACAATTTTAATATTTTATTGACATCTTATCAATACATGCAAAAGTACATTGTCTGTACTATTTAAAAAAAAAGATAATTATATATATATATATACATGATACTATGTACAATGAATATGGCGCCTCTGCCACCGTTGCAGAGTTTGGTGGAGAATCGCCAGTGGGTTTACTGCGACACCACACATTTCGCGATCTAAGAAGAATACATAGATCGTGTGCATCGCTGCTTAGGAGATGGTGATGGCGTGGTCCTCGAGATCAACTGAAAAGATCCAGAACTGCAGGTCCGGCCGATGATGGAGAACATCTATCGGATGACGGGGCGAACAGCGCTGCAGGACCAGTAGCGGTGGGCCAGCGACATATATACTCTAGAGACGGAAGCGCATTCAGAGATGCCGCGACTGTGGCTCTATAGAGAAGGCGGCTATGTCTCGTCCTGAAAATGTGCCTCTACTCCGCTGGACCTTTCCTGAGCAGAAATCTGTTGGAAGCAAGTTCCTCGAAAGTGCTATTGCACATATCGATACAGAAATGCCACACTTTAAAAGAGACTTACCACCTTTAGGGTAGCTTGTGTCCGCGGAAATGTTTCAGACGATCCCAAAAGGTTCGTCCTATATATATTTCAAATGTTTTTAATTTTTTCATTCTATTTTTCTTTCTGTTGTCAATAAATAATTTCAAATTGTCAAATTGTCTCTTTCTCCGAATTCTATTTCACTCACTAATTCAAATAGAGAATATTGTACGTTCCATAGAGTTACCTATTGCAATGTCACTGTTAGTTCAACAGTAGTGAAAGTTACCACACCAACATGCCCACGGCAGAACAACACACTCGGCGATGGATTAATCCCAAAGAAAACATGGACAGACTAATTAACTGGTCTTCCCGCGGGGTGAACTCTCTTCGAATGGCGACAACACTTTCCATTCTGTCCTTCTCTTGGGAGTTATCTACTGTGTATTTAAAATCGAAGACCATTATATAATAGCGAACAAAATATTTTAAAATTAAATTGTCTAAAATACACTTATATAAAACTCTTTTCATGCCAATGCTAACCTACGGATATCAAATATGGTATAAATGTATTAATAAAAGAAGTAAGCAAATATTAAACTCTCAGCAATATCATATTCTTCTTTGGGTAGTGATAGCTTATAAAAAGACATCAAATTGCATTCATAGTTTGGCAAAAATACCTATTCTCATAGATCACATAGAATCGTTGATAATGAAATATGAATTAGCAAATTTATCAAAAGAAGAAATTAATTTATTTAGACCGCATGCCCCAACTATAATTTATAACTTCATAGAATCAAGAATGACTGAAACTATAGCGAACACTAATGAAACATTCCGAAATATTTTCCCATTTGGAATTCCTTTTTATTTTCGTCCAAATCTTTATAACTCACAGTTCATCACAAATCATGGTAAATTTGGAGAATTTCTGGCGAAAATTAGGGCAACAGATGATCCTAGCTGCTTCTGTGGAAAAGAAAACCAAGACTCAATACATTTATTAATAGAATGTCCGATATTTCACAGCTACAGAAGTAATCATTTTTATCCCTTCGAAGAAATTTGCGAATTTGTATATAACAAAGACACTTATGTAAAATTATAAAACAATATAATGCGGCTTATGATTGTAAAACTATATTTGAAAATTATCCCGCATGTGTTTCTTTTAAACGAAAAGTCAAAATTTATTTTTAAGGAAAAATAACGATTATATCCAACCCTAGGGATGAAGTATGAAAGGATGAATTGTGAAGAGTAATGATAAACGGAAAAATAAACTAGTCCAGGGATGGGAAAGGAACCCACAGTGTTCCGCTTACTGGGCTTACAGATGCCATGTCCACTAGGCTACCCTGGACATATTTTTCCGTTCGTAAATAATATATGAGGTGATTTATAATACAATATAATGTGGCTTATGATTGTAAAACGACATTTGAAAATTATCCCGCATGTGTTTCTTTTAAACGAAAAATCGAAATGCATTGCCTGGTAAGCGGAACACTGTGGGTTCGATTCCCATCCCTGGACACTTTTAATTTTCCGTTTATCATTACTCTTCATAATTCATCCCTAAGGTTGGAAAAAAAACGTTATTTCTCCTTAAAAATGAATTACGATTTTTCGTTTTAAAAGAAATACATGCGGGATAATTTTCAAATGTCTTATTTACTTATGTAAAATTCAATAATTTTTGTAAATTTATTTTGGATTTCCTTTTCTATTTGAGAAAACCAACCTTTCGGTTTTAATTTTGTTTTTGATCCGGTTATTGATTGAATCGTATATAAAATGAATTGTATATAAGTTAATAAAATGTATTTAAGCGGAAGCATCCCAAGCTGGGATATCGCGTCCGATATCTCAAATAAAATAAAGTATACACTTATACTTGTATCTTAAAATCAAAGAAGGCAAATCCTGACCACAAGCACATGAGATTTTTAGATTGCAGAGCGCCATCTAGTGGAACAGAAATCAACTAAACGTTGATTTACCCTGTTGCTTGGTATTTGGCCAACCTATTTTCTTGATAAATCAAGAAAAGCCAACAACGAACGCGTTTCGGGCTGTTGGCTCGTCAGAGTGGTGCAGGCTGTATGTGACTGGGTTTCTTTTCTTTTTTTTGTAATTCATTTTCTTTTCATTTTAATTGAAACGAGTCCAAGAGTTGTCTTTGAACCTTTTTTATGTGTTCTTCTCAAGTGAGTGAATGTTTTTCTGTTAGAAACTTGTCTCTGCCTTCTAAAAATAATGGTCTGGCTTCGCCCGTGGTCTGCTTTAGTGAATATTCCCTCGAAAATATTTAGTTTCTCACAATCAAAAACATGATACTGAAATATTTATATAATCATTTTCTGACTAAAAATAACTATTTTGCCCACTACTTAATCAATTTTAATTTTCCTTGACTAAAAATGCGAAAATAAACTATTCCAGACATAACTTTATGTCCTGCTAAAATTCATCCAGATTAGGTACATATTGAAGACGTGTATAGCCGACAAACATATTAACATGTAAAGACATAACATGTAAAGATAAAGAATTGAAAGTGCAGTCGTGATAAAAGAAAATAATTATTTACTATTAAGTAGTTTTATTCTCAATATTACTTGAAGAAAATTACACAACAAATATTTCCACAGTTATATAGAATTTATAAATTTAATTCTACATTAATTAATTCAAAAACTAGGTAAGTTAACTATACATATTAACAACAATATAAAAAGTGGCATATTCTAGAAACTATGGTCAAAATTGTCAATGAATGTAAAAATAAAATATTTGAATATTTAGATTGATTCATATATATATATATATATATATATATATATATATATGTGATGATTTAAGACCATGGAATTGTTGTAAATAATCTAAATATCCACTACCACATGTTCCACCCCATGACTGTATATAACTTCTTATGTACTGCACATAGAAAGCCTCAACTAACATCAATCTGTACCGCGTAAGAATCTAATAAAGTATTGCAACTGTACAGATAGAAGGAATGGAGAGAGACAGGAGAAAGTTAAGGTTAAAACAAATCAGGCTTAGAGGATCGTAGAAGTCAAACCTAAGAGGTAGGCCTAGAAGAGAACATAATTATTAATAACGCCACAGTTAACCTTCTGACCCCGGACACCCTGCGAGCTAAGTTTAAACCAATATTTCCGGACAAGACAGGACGTATCTTGTGACCAGAAGTTATAAAAGTTTGAGAGACGCCCAATTTCCGGAACAAGACCGGACGTATTTCTTCCGTCAAAGAGATAAGCCCGGCCCAATCAGAAGACAATACCTAACTAGGTCAACCAATAGCCCACTACCACGTGAAAAAGTCCCACCAATTAGGAAAGAATCACCTAAATAGGTCAGCCAATTAGAAAGCAGCAAGGTCGTGGTGTTAAATCGAGGCCCTAGAATTGCCAGTCTTCGCTTGGATTCCAACGGTAACACTTGCTCTAAAATCTCTCTCTCTCCTCATCCCATTCCTTCTTGACGTCAGACGCTTTTAGTGGAATCTCTGTTTGTTTATTTCACCTTTGGCCCAGCTGTGTCGCCTTCCACCACGACTGCACGGTAGAGTTGACATCGAGGGTCGTCTAGCATCAGGTAACACTGGTCCCAGAGGTCCCAAGATATCACAGACTCCCCCGTAACGAAGAGTCGACAGGATGGTGGACGCCAAGGTACAAGTAAGCAAGTAGACCACTGTCTGTACAGAAAGATGGAACAGGGAAGAGAGGAGGATTCAAAGGAGCCCATGAAGTCCGATCCCGACTACGAAAGTGGCGAAAACCCCACTTTTTCGAAGAAAGAAAACACTCTCGGTAAGACGCAGGAAATCGCCCCCGGCCAGGAAGACGTCACGCCCCCGCCACTGGTGTCAGATGTCCTAGGGAGGTTGACGACGACGCTACATCAGCCTTCTGCCGTGACCGGACATCGCGAGAGGTGGAATCGCTACGATGGTTCGTACGAGGCGCAGAGCTTCTTCACCAACTACGACGCCCAAGCAGATCGGGCCCAACTACAAAACTCTACAAGACTGAAAAAGCCACCAGACCTCCTGCAAGCGCCCCTCCGAGTTACCAACACGCGAGCGTATGTTACCTGCTCCCCCGACCATCTCTAAACCACGAGCCCAGCGAAGACAATGAACTCTGACTGTCCCAAAAATCCGCCAACCACGAGACAAGACCAGGACTGTCCCGACATACAAGACCACACAACAGTAGGTTCCTACTTCTATAATTTTTATTGAACAATTTCTCGTTCGAGCTGAACAGTCCAATAATGTAAACCTACTCTACTACTTGATACAGTAGCATCTTTCGATATAATTAGTCAGAATACTTTAAAATAATAGAAATCAGTTTGTAAAAGAAAAAATACCTGTCCATCCATTTAACTTAATTATTAACGCCATAGCTAACAATATTTTCACCATAGATTATATCTTTTTGATCTTAAAAATAAGTAACATAACGCAGAACCTAAAATTCCATATTATAGATACCCCCATGCCTTTTGGCATTTTATTCCTTAATTCCATAAAACGATTTCTACTAATTATGAACTGTACTCAGCTACTCCTGTATCAATATAATGTACTTCTACCAACTACCTTGTACCAATTCACTTCGTGCAAGCAACACGTGTCCCATGGACAGGTTAATACAACTGTTCCATTTACTAAATTTTCTCCTCCTGGAACGGGTTGCTCACACGTGGTGAACTCCAATACTCTTATTTAATCTTATTGTAATGTTCCTAATCCCATTTTCACGCCCTTTTCTTTCATATCTTTAGACAGAAATAACCTAAGTCACAGCCTTCCAAAACTATTCCAATCGTTAAATTCCCACATAACTACACTCCTTCCTTTTACATGCATAGTTAAATATCGACAAATCGCTCCTAACAAAATAAACAACACCCTCTCACATCACTTTTTCTAATTAACAAATTTTCAATGCGCGACTTCACACCCAAATCAAATTTCGAGCCACACAAGCTTTAGAACGTCGCCCTACTAAACACACACAATCTTTTTTTTTTCTCACATTAAACGTGTCATATCCACTAACAATATAAAAATTATCGATATGTTCGTACAACCCACAAACCATGACTTTAGTAAATTTGTTATTCTTAGTGTAACAGGTTAGATTTTGTACAAAACAGAGACTTCACGCGACACCTTTTCATTTACAATTTTTTCGCTTCGTGTCACAGCGCCACACCACTAAACTCTTTCAATTTTCAGGCCAAAGACGCCTTCACCACGCCTGTGACACATTTATTTAACCACACATGGTTCACGTCGATAGTCGCAATTTCACTCAATTCTAACCTGATATCATTGAATAACATTTTTACTAAGTCCGCCAAAAAACCATTCGATTTAATAACAGATACAATATCCGAATTTTCGAAATACAAACACAAATCTAACAAATGCTTGAACACACAGGATAATTACAACCTCTGTATCTCCCTATGTCAATCCCATAACGCTTGTCACCAAACGTGACAAATCAAAACGCTTTTGTGTTTACAATTTTAGAAATAATATCTCCGAACGTAGTTCGAATTAACTTCCAATAAGTTGAAAGAAAGCAAGCAGCCTCGCAAAAGGCCTCCCTGACCTACATCCGGAATCGCATTAAAAATAGCTTCGCTCCCCCTCGCCCCCCCGAGCAAACAAACAGCCGACATCTTGTTACATCCGTCGCCACCCCGTGTTCTCTAATGAACTTTCGCCACCTATTAAATTAAATATTAGTGCGTGCCAAAGACAACATTTTACTTACAAAAATCACACACACCCACATAAGTTTAAAAAAAAAAAAAAAAATCGACAACATTAGGACTCAGTTAGTTTCACAGCTGGAAACAATGTGATCCACGAGTCGCACCAAACTTAAAACAAATTCGATAAGTTAGAAAAACTTAGGCCAACAAGACCAAAGATATCAATCGAGGACAATTTAAAGCTCTTTCTACCCATCCTAAAAAAACAGGAACATTCATTTGGCCTACAACTTTACATTCTTTCCCAATATATAATTTCTATTTATAATCTTACTTGCTCTTCTTTCTCGATGAACATTTTTTTTTCATTTTAATATCTTGTATATAATCATTATATAGCTCTTATATTTTATTTACCTCACCAATCAGTTTAGATTAGTGTCATTTTATTTTATTTTTCTTTACCAAAACTTATTTACTTTTGCTTTATGACTCTATTCTATAATCAACTTTATATTTAATCTTTCGTATCTAATAATCTCAAGTTTATATTTCATGTTTATATCACTAATTTGCATTTATCATTTT